GTTATAAGTTAGGTTCTTAATCTACACTACCTCTTTTGTTGCTCCTTATATTTCTTACTAGATGAACTCGAAGGCAATGCCCAAAACTTACAAAAATAAACTAGTTATCCTGGTGCTTTTTTACCTCTTCCATGGATGACGTTCCTGGAATACGTAGAGTATCATTGATTAGATAGAAGCAGGCTTTGACAATATCTCCGGAAATGTATAAGCCCATTTTATTTACTTACAGATTAGTCCTCAACGGCCTTAATAGAAGTGACACAAGGTTGTCATATTCGCGGTGAGATCAGACATTTGTTAGTGCTCACCAAAATATTAAAAAGAAAAGGCAAAAACATGTTGTATACATGCACCTCGAGGACAGCAAGACATTTCCTGCGGCGAGGGTCGTATAACGACAAAAGGTACTTAAGGAATGGGAGGGGACTGCATTTAATTCCCCCCTCCCCCCACTTAAAAAGCTAGAAACATCACCGACAACTGCGCGTTCTATAATAGCAAGTTCTGGCGTATGTACCGTCGTCAGATAGCCGCATACAAACTGCAGTTCGATGAAAACTGTGGTATTCCATCAAGCTGGACTGTTCGACGTTAGACGAAAACCTGGCGGGTCTCAGTACCAGACGTGTTATAAATGGTTTTCCCGTCCAGGGAGGCAACTGGTTGCCCCTAGGGAAAAAAATGATCCTAGGTTCGGCCGCTCTTTTTCTTTCCAAGGGCTCCTTATATGTATCCGCATGCCTCGGAAACAGGCAAGCAAATGCACGGACACAGACAAGCGTGTCTCCTTCCTCCCGTCGCGACTGTTCGCGATGGGCTCGCATGGGAGAATAAATGCGCAGCTGATTGGCCCATTGGATCAGCCAATGAACAGGCAGATGTGATCTGAAATAGTCACGTTCCCCGCAGGCACATTGTCACGTCCGCGCTTATGTTCAGACCGATTCCTATCTGGCAGCGGAAATTCGAAAATAGGCAGTAGGTTAAAATCCCTCTACGATCTCGGAGTACTAGCTGCTCAAAGACAGAAGCAGTTGCAAGGCATGCATGCGCATTGAAGGCTGTGCCAAAGAGGAAGGAGAGAGCTCTTTGATATCACCGACTTACTTTAAATGAAGCCGTGATCAGTGTGATGGGGATGATGTTACAAAGCATGACTGCCCAAAGCAGATAGAACTCATGACGTCGAAGAATATGTACAGGCGGATAGTTGATTTCTCTGAAAGAGAAAAGTATTGAGAATTAGTTTTGCAAATACAGATATATGCAGAATAAGGTTTGACGATGAAGGGTGAGTACTGGGCAGTACAGCATTTGGCAAACGGTATGTAGGCGAGTTAAGCCCAAGTAAGGGGTGCCTTAGAGCTACTGCTCAAATAACATCCCTATAAATTGTCAGAAAATGCCATGGAATTTTAAAAAAAACTCGTGTCCCGGCGATCTCCACGTTCCTTTACTGAATATAGACTAAATTCTGAACCCATAACTTCAAAAAAGCGGACTTATCGCGATTCCCAGAAAGGTGGTAGTGGTTTGTAGGGTGAGCTTTTTGGAGAAAATAGACGCGAAGGTCTGAAGTATGATGAGAATTAAAAAAACGCATTCGTGCAGTAGGCTTATTTTATTAAGTTAAATAAGTGACGAAATGAACCCGCGTAAAAGGGTGGGAGATTAAATATTCTATTTACGCTGGTAACATAAACAACGATTACGTCAACATTACCAAATTCCCACTAAACACTATCCCTAAACCTAACCCTTACCGGTAGCCCGATGTTAAGCCTAACTTAACCCCGTACTTAACACTGATCCTAACCTTACTTTGCCAGGAAATCAGCAGTAGCCACATGCAATGCGGCGGTTCGTGTCTTCATGTCCAGTTTATAGGAGCATATAAGTAACCAGTACTGGTAATTTAAATATCAGTGCACAATGTAGTGTCAAAAGACGATAAAACAGTCTAGCAACTGTAAATTGTAGCTTCGAACGATTAGACGAAAAAAGGTAACCATACCTATTGAGAGTCACTTTTAGTTCACGCATCCCGGGTACAAAATTATTGCGCTAATGTAGTAAGGAACCTTCATCTGGTAATAGTGAAATAGTTTGGAGGCACACTGTCGGGACGCAGTCTGCTAAGTGTGTATGCGAAACAGCGGAAACAAACAGGAAAATTAAATTTTCAAAAAAAGAAACAATAACCATAACAGTCTCTTACTCCTCCTCCCTGAATAGGACGGGATGAAAAACGGAAAAACATAGTCAAATATTTATGGTCGGAAGGAGTACGTAGTGCAACTTTCATGACGAAATTAGACTTGATAGTTTAGCATATATTTGGTCACATTATGTTAATTCACAAGTGGATTTATTGCTAGAGAAGCCCTTTAGTTAGGAAATTCGCCATTTTAGTAAAGTTTTTTAAGGAAAATGGGCGTTAATTTTGGCGAAATAAGGAGTAGTCTGATATCACAGGAATTTCCTATATTATTACTTACGACAGAACCTCACATTTTATTAATGTGTATTATACTATGGAGGAACTCCAAAACAAGTAAAAAAATAACAAATCATATCCCTTCCAGAACCGGAAAATGTTGTCCGATATTTTTCAGACGCAAGTGGAACCACATTTATTTTCATAAACAAGGAACAATTCCACTTTAAAAAATTAATTTTTGTTATTCGGCGAAGTTTTGTGAAACAAAATGCCGAAAGAAATTTGTATGACAAAAGTAATTTTACCATAGCGATAAATATGAGCGTGAACTTGACATACAAACAAGAATGCGCGACATACTTCCCCTTTTCCGTATTGGGCCGTGCCGTGAAGATGTCAAATCATTTCCTATCTGCAGCTGATTTTGTCCGCTTACGAAAGTTGGCAGCTGAAGGACTGCCGCGCAATTCATAAATAATATGTTTGAGATAAACAAGGCCACCGTATCCAGAATCAGTAACTATAAAAACGTGCCCAGAAGGAAGAATCCTGGACGAAAGCGGTGTACAATAAAACAGGATGACGATTGTATTCTTCAAAGACTAAAAAATACCATTATATGACCGTTAGGACTATTCACGGGGAACATTTGTCAATCTCCTCTCGGAACCTAGTTAGAAAGAGAATGCGGGAATTTGGCCTTCATCAGCAGATGGCTGCGATTAAGCCGTTTATAAGTAGGAAACGTATTGAGAAACGTTTCCTATTTGCGAGGTAGTACGTTAATCACAGAGGTTCATTTTGGAATAGCATTTTTTTATTGTGATTAAGTACTATTCTTAGACAAATCTACAAAGTTGGCACAGGCGGTCATATGCGGAAATAACTTACCCAAAAAACCCACTGCTTCGACATTAACATTCAAGAACTATCGACACCTCGTGGTTTGGATGGCGATCAAGTTCGGTGAGCGACCAATCTGGCAATCGACAAAAGATACCCTTAACAGCAAGGCTATGTAGACATTGTCAAAGATACCTTTGGTTATAATGGCGTCGAATGGACATTGTCATGCTACAAGACAATGCCCCTGCTTACCGATCAATAGAGATATGCTTATAATTTCCCTTACGACTATAATCTATTATTTTAAGACAACAGCTACCCTTTCCGCCTGAGGCTGAGAAATATTTGTATTCTTCGGAACAGTCCGGACCTCCATCCCATTGGAAATCTCTTTGCCTCAATCAAGAGGAACTGGCACAAGCCGCTGAAACATATTTCAATGGAACAGAAGTCAGAGTTCGTCCCTAATAATTGTATAGACCAAACCACCATTGACAACATAGTTGTCTCTATGCCCTCCCGAATTAATGCCTATTATAAATGTTAAAGGCCATTCAACAAAATATCAGTATGTTACATATTTACTACTTTTACTTATTTTGTCCTTTTATGTTATTTGATAACACTTTTGTCACTTATATAACGACTTTTTGTCATTGACCTGTCGTACAGCCCTTTTTTGGATTTGACAGTTTTCGGCAAAATAAATTAGTTCTTACATAATAAATGATACTTTATGCATCGAAATATGCCTCTTTTTAAGGATTTAGTTTTCCTTTCAGGCAGTATAACTTGGGGGTCCTTTGGATAAACGCCTTGCGAGCTACAAGGGTTTTCATGCAGACGTGACGGTGTCACGCGAATTTTGGCCTATACTTTAAAGAGGAAATAGGCAAAAATAGGTTGAAGGGACCAAAAAAATACACCTAGTCGGCAGGCACAGGAGAAAGCCTGCGCTTGCTGTGTGATAATGTGCACCAGTTAGGAGGCAGCCCCGAAAGGAATTCTGCTTCATAAGAATACAGTTTCCTTAGGCATCTTTGGAGTGGGAACACACACGGATAATCAAAAGTGACCAATCCGAGCCGCTAGTAGATAGAAGCAAGCTGCCGGAATTCTAATATCGTAAAACCTAGTGATCCGTGAATACACGCGGGCTTAGCCGGAAATTAATATACTCTTGTGAACAGAAATTCATCAGCTTCAGCGAAATAACGCCACGACAGCCACCGTCTACCCACAGACATTAAGTAGTATAATAAACACCACTTACTTCGCAGCATGACGGCAGCTAAAGTGCTAACAAGTAAAACTTGACTATAAAGGATACAATATTATTTATATACTGTTGAATGCCTGTGGGGAGCTCGTAAAGGTTAAACTGTTATTCTACTGGGACTGGCAGCCTTTAGTTCACATATTTATTCAAACTTTTGGACCGAATCGGAGGTTCGTGTTGAAGGATTTACTTCGCGTTTACAGATTAATTTTCGCGAGATAAACGCCGTCAATGGCAACAGAAACTTCAGTATGTCTCCCAAAGCACATAATGGAGCACTGGGTGCCTCATAGATGAGCCAGACATATTACAGGCACGTCCTGCAGCGGAAAAATATCACCGAAGCCGGTTTAAAATAACTCCATCTTAATTGTGCGAGTGAACACTTGTGTGAGGTTTTGGTCGTTATAAATGTTCGTGTTGTGCTTGACATCACTGGGGGGCCAAGCAGCAGGGCACTTTAAAAACAGCCAAGTTAAGCTTTGTGCTTGAACGGACCAGAATGTGCGCAGCACACGATGGTTGACAGCGAGGATCTGGTTGCCCACCGTGTCCAGCCTCAACAACTTCATTGACCTTAACGCGATTGTCCCTTTTTACGGCCTTGTTCGCTGGGGAGTCAGGATTGATCAGCCCCTTGAGCTGACACATGCGCCCATAACCAAGGTTGCGCTGGTCGGCTGGCTTGCGCGTGAGCGTGGTTTTAAGGCCCATCCTTCAGAGTCATAAATTCCCAGCTCAAGTGAACGTCCATCGATTGCAGCTGCGGATGCCAGTCGATGAGACCTATGCTTTGCCTTCTGAGCGGCCTAAACAGTGATAACCTCTCCAGTTAACAACGTTTCGTTCTAGTCAAATATCCTATGAACCAGAACAGTACTGAACGTGTGTTAAGTGACGCTATGCTAAGGGCTGAAAACGAGCACAATGCGAATTATTGGGCGCACCAACCTGCGAGGTAAAAAACTGGAGTTCTTGCAAACTGAATGTCAAACTCCAGGGCTTGTCGACCATCTGTAAACAATCTACTAAAAGGTACCAACGGTCTAACAAAAGTAAACTCCAACCAGTATCAACAAAAGTTAAGTTAAAAGCAGTTAAAAATTGTAATAGCATTTTAATTACTGCTAATGTATTCAAGCAAAACAAAGTTAGACAAAAGATAGTATATCCCAATTTTCTGCCAAAACAACATCGCCTGCCGTAGAAGAGGGCCTTGGCGGAATGTCAACCAGACAACTCTTAAACACCTTCCTGTGCGAAATTAGTGTTTGCATCAAAACTCTAACGCGGACGCTGGCGCAATCGCCGAAAGGTCACCTGATATGATTCGGTCGGAGAAAACGTCCTTGCAGGCACCTTTAGGCAGGTGACTGTAAATGCTGCCATGACAACTAAATTGTTGTTCGACGTATGGTTGTACCTACGAAGAGACACGTTCACCTCTGTTCCGGCGGACGAACTGCTCCTAATTTTGTATTATTCCCATAGCAACTTCCAGGTGATATACTTTCTGTCCACCAATGAGGTGAAAGTCAAGTATTCTGAACCAAACTGAGTTGTTGGGAGCTCTCAGAAATGTTTGAGAACACTTGTACCTTCTTTAAATAACCAAAGTGACGCAAAATCTTAGTTTGTGTGAATAATATATTTTTGGGCAAAACGCACTGCAATCATGTAGCACAATTTCATTCCCTGTTGCATGCTAATGCGAGTCCCAGGAAGCAAATGAAACAAAGCAGGTACGATCTTTCGCACAAAAAAATTAATTCGGCTGACGTTTCTGATTCTCTTGTGAACTCATCATCAGAGACAGTGAGGCGCAAGTTGCTTGAATCATAGTCTAGGGGCCACCAGACCATAAACGGGTGCAATGACCTGCCCAACCCATATTCGGTACTGTGATTCTGTTTGGCCACAGCAATTCGCCACTTAGAGAGCACACAGGCGAACGCGTCCTTTAATGCCGGCGCAAGGGAGCCAGATGGCCGAGCAATCATCACAAGTCCAGCACGAGTGATGAAATGTCAACACACGTCGGCCATTGAGTCATTAGCGTACGCGCGGACAACTATCTTTGAGGAAGGCAGAACCTGTAATCAACATAGACATGCAGTAGCATAGCGACTGTATCCTACATATACTTAAACGTCTTGGATTGGATTTATTGTGCAGAGTCACCATTAATCACTGTTAATCACCACAACTCTGAGGTATGGCAGTTGTATTTTAATGAATTGGATTAGAAGGCGGGGATTGTTTTGGATTAATACAAATACAGGCGCGTACACTCAAAAGGACACATTCTGAGAAAACGGACTGTTTCACACTGCTTGTCTTCATATTCTTTTCAGGTGGTCTAGCGGTCATATTTCCCGGACAGTGGGAATGAAATGCCAGATTTTGGCAGAATCTCTGGCTGCACAGGTCGCTAGCTGTATAAAAAGAGCGATACCGACTTGCTAGCCAATCCGCCTTCTCTTCGCTGCTGGCGGCACTAAGGAGGAATTTTTCGGACATCAGGAGTCACTGGAGCATTTTGAAAGAGTCACGTAAAGTGATGCATGTAGGGGAAGAGAGTTAGTCTTAGTTTGAGTGCACGATATTCGTAAGAACATGCAAGAAAGGTCAATGACATAAAAATTCAAATGTCGTTGCCCGTCTATTATATTTCGACATTAATACCTAGTGGGATGGAGGCGAAAGGGGAAGACTTTGCCCAAAAAGGTTTTAATTTCATACATATCGTGGCTCCGTGATAAGAGTGAGTGATACGCTTCGTTTTGAAAATATAATTCCAAAATTTCCAGCAAAAACGTCCTCCCTTCGTACAAAGTCACAATACCGGAATATCAAAAGTAATCCAAGTAGACTGCAATCTTCTACATCATGGATAAATATCCTGGGAAGAGTCGTCAAATATAAACCAAATTGGACTGCTATCAAAACAGCCCTAGCGTTGTGACCTTGTGCCCTTATGACGTCATTGTATTTCAAATAAAAAAAGAGGGATAACCATCGGCTTATAATGGGCGAAGTAGGCAACCGACGTGTACATAAGACAATTTACATACGAATAGAGGGAGGAGAAAAATGGCGGCTAAAATTGAACAGCCCGCAGCAACGTGCTGACTGACAAACTTGACAACCGGTGGAAAACTGGAGGAAGCGCCAGTTACTGAGGTATTGGAGTAGCTATTTGAAGGACTACATTTTGTCTGATGCCTCGGACAGTAGGCTTTACTGTCTACTGGCAAACGCGGAGACGGAATCGAAGTCTACAGATGTTGGTCAGTTATGTTAGTAGTCAGGAGAGGTCATTCGATATGTCTGCGAACAGTTGCAGGCTAGGTATCCTCTTTCCTTGTGGGTTACCTCCGATAACTAATGACAGGGCCCCTTGGGCCTTAAATATATAATTTATTATTTATTTATTTATATTCGTCGGTTCTTCAGGTTCATTTACGACTTGGCATCCGTCTTGCCGCGGTAATCTCTTGCTGCTGGCGCACAAACGCCACGTAGCAAGCTCAGAGGATCGGCAGCTTACCATGTGCGCGCGAGATGGATGTATCCCAGGTTGTTAGCCAGAGCGCAGGGCGAGTGAGTCAACATTGGTGTCCTCAGCTGAATTTTATGCAGGGAAAATATCGATCTGCACACGTGTCGCAACAGCTGCGGACACAATTATCGATTTTCGTCGTCCAGTTCGACGGAAAACCACACATCACGGCGCACAGTTCATCAGGCTGTGCCTAATTAAACCGGTTGATTACTTACGTATTTTGCTTTCCCTACTTAAGATGGGTTAAGAGAAAAGAAAGAACTCGTACGGTTCGTTTGAACTTGACTGACAGGTGGCGGCATAGAGAGCATTCGTGAGCACTCATGTATTGTGGCTGCAGTGGCTAGGTTATCTGCTAAAAATTAACCTTAGCATCACGCCGTTTTTGCGTAAATGGCGAAGTGAATTGGCTCTAACTGA